AACAGAAGGCAAGTTACTTAGTACAAAAATTCTATATTATTTATTCTTAAAATTATATCCGAAAATAAGCACCTCTTGTAACAAAAAAAGGGTGCTTAATTTCGGAACTATACGGTAATTGGTTATTTGGTATATCAAAAGATATAGCTTGGATATAATTTTGAAATTCTGGCTAAGATCTCTAATTATATGTTTGATATTTTTATATTAACAACTAGACTTCGGTTTGCATATAATTAAATAAGTCTAGTAAATTATAAATTTATTATAAAGGTCATATAATTTTTAACAATATATGCTCTAATATTAGATTAAACAAATTTTTTAAAAGTAAACATATTACTAAATAATTCACAAATATTTTGCTATTTGCAAAATCGAAATAATTTAAACAAAAATGTGTATTTTATATTTCTTGGTTTAGCTTTATAAAACCATTAATCAATTATTCAGTTAATCGATTAATTAATCGATTTTCAATTTGAAACACTAGGTCGTTAAGTAATATAATTTTTTATTACCATATATTGCATTATGTTTTGATGTACTTCCGGGAGTGTATACTTAAATCATCTTACAGGGGTACTGTAAGTCTGGATAGTAAAATTTCGTTCCAGTCTGAACGTTAATACAAGGGTGATCGTGACGTCTGGACAGTAAAGCCCTCCACTCCGTTCCGGACAATAATATTTGTTTTACTGATAAAATTTGACCGAATATAAACAACAATACCTTCCACCTTGACCTAAATTTTTGTTTTTTTTGCAAGGTTTTATTCGATAATATACGGTAAATTGATTTTAAAGAAGATACTCGAATGCTTAAATTGCAAATTTGAAAGTATTTCATTTATTGTCTGGTGTTCCCTTTGTTGTTTTTTTTGCCCTAAGACTACGCAAAGTTGATTTTCTGATTCCATGTTATGCAAAGCGAAAAAATTAACTTTGCCATGGCCTTAAATATGAACATGAGTCTATTAATTTACTGTAGATTATAAAAAAAAAAATCCGACCGACCGACCGACTGGGGATTTTGAAATCCATGTAACACAAAACGAAAAATCAACTTTGTGCGGCCAAATATTTACACAATTTTAATTATCTTATTATTATCATTTTCATTATTCATCATATTTTTTATTTTTATCAACATACAGTATTTTTTAGTAAGTGATGAACTTTCATATTTCTTAATTAAGCCATGTCATTGTGATGGATAAATATTCTGTGGTGGAAGTCGCATCGCGTAACTGTGATTGAGATAAGAAATGGCACGAGATGAATTATTGAAAGATAAAGTTCTTTCATAGTACAGAAAAGGAAATAGATTTTATTCGCTGGTTATGAGTGGTACGTATCTTAAATTATGCTTTAGTTTCCCGATTTCCCGGGAATCTTTAAAAAGGAATCTACTCGCATCCAATATTAATTGTGGATCCTTCCCATGTGTATAATTCCCTGGTTAAAGATATTCTGAGTATACCTTCATTTATAATAGGGATAAGTGATGCCTTCATTTATATGATTTCTTATTTTATACCTTATCAGTTATTGTATACCTTCTATATTTACTTACGTACGTATTTTGATGCCTAGTAAACAGTGTTGGCAAAATATGGACATGGACAATATGGATCATTGGACATGTACACTATGTCCATATTGTCCATATTTTTCTATTGGACATAAGGCGCTTAGTCCAAATCAAACACGTAGGCTTGCCACTCCGGAATATTCCGGAAGAATAAGCCAAAGTCCGAAAAATTCAGAAAAAATCGGTAAGATATGGCATGGTCACTATTTGGTCCAAGTCCAAATAAAATTTTTATTGGACATAATTCAAATGGCTAGTAAATATCGTATTCTATAATCACATGATAAACCATTCTACTATACCCGAAGTTAGGAAAGGGAATAGTTTTGGCTAATTTGTACTAACAAACAAATTATGATTTGGGAGAGCATATCTAAATCGCAGATTTAGTTCCAGTAGTGAAAAACGTCACGAAACTAACGATGGAATTATGTTTTTAACGGCCTTTAAAAGAATGACTGACACGGGATAAAGTCTACGATATATTAGATTGAAACGCACAAAAGCCTTTAATAGGTAAGGTATAGTGTTATAGCATCAGTGTATCCTGATTATATTTTTTTATATAAGAGGATTTTACTTATTTATTACTGTATAATGCATTTCTTTAGAAATAGATCTTTTATTTGAAAACAGGAGAGAACTCATTTTTCACTTATTTGCCATGTAATTCGCTTTACAGATCAAAATTACTTATTACAGTAAAACCTCCATTATAAGTGCACACCCTCAAGTTCTGATCCAAATATATACATGCCCCTGTAAATGCACTTTCTCTTATTGATCTCTAAGTGCACGTTGTACTTCATTCAGCCTTCTAAAAATTAAACGAATAATAAAAAAAAAGAGAAAGAGGTAAAAATAGTTATATAGTATAAATAGATAGATTAAAAAATTAAAAACGTCTTGTGACTAAATCGAGTTAACTAAAGTTACTTTTTGATTCATTCATATATGGATACCATTTATCAATATAATTTACAGAATGTAGAAAAATATATTCCCACTTCGTGTCATCATATTTTTGATTTATATCCAAATTAATCTCTCTAGAATCATGTCCTGTTTTCGTTTGTTTGTTAAATTAATATTAGTTTATGCTCAAAATAAGAATTTAATACGTATGATATATTTTCTTACCCATAACCATATTGCTATTTAATCTCATACTTCGCATAGCCAGTGCTTCACTAATTAATGGATTTAATATTCTGCTGGAATATATTGCTCGATCATTGATTTTAGTTGGCGAAATACTCATAAATCCATTTTCTGGAAATTCTATTTCACCTCTTTCTGTCTTATCAATAATCATTGAAAGCTTACCTTTCAATGTTTCTACTGGATGTTTAGATGAAAAAACAGACAAAAATTGTCTTTTTTCTGGATTAGGATGCCAGCATTTTTCCATTAATTCAACTAAATCTTGTGGAGTGTCAATTGGAATTTTTGGGCGAAGACCATCAAGAATATCCAGAATAAGATATTCATCATGTTCGCGATCAGAAAATGGTTTACACCCATTTATTACCTCCCATACAATCATACCAAAACTATAAATATCTGAAGCTTCTGTGAATTTTTCTCCTTTAAACACTTCCGGTGCGATATATGGAATTACACCATAAATCGCATTATTATCAGATGATGCATTCATTGGTTTGCTTATTCCTAAATCTGAGACTGCCGGTTTACCTTCACTAATAAGAATATTACCACTGTGAAGATCACGATGAACGATTTTATATTCGTGTATTAAACAAAGTCCCATTACTATTTCATATAGCATTTTTAACTTTTCTAGCCAAGATAAAGTGTTTATATTTTTTTTCATAAAATAGTTCAAGTCTCCGTTTTGTGCAAATTTCATAACCATCATGTAATTTTTTGTTTCAGGATGCTGTGTGATGCCAAAATATTGATGTAAAAAGATATCATTATTTCTCCAATGACAGCTAGAATCTCTTCTGCAGCGAAAAAAATTTCTTAACTAAAACAAAAAAAAAAAAGAACTAAATTGAGCTTTTAAACAATTAATCTCAATCAAATAAATATAATGTTACATATAGACCTCATTCAAACAATCAGAATTCATTTTTTCCGAATCATCAAAACTTTTAAGAACAATTTCATAATTTCCTTTTCGAACATATCTTTGTTCCTTGAAACTCCAACGAGCAATAGGGCCATCAATCCATGTTGCTTTATATATAGAACTAAATCCTCCTTTGGTTAGATATTTAATATTAGTTAATTGTTCATATGGGATAAATTCTAATTTTGATGAATTTGAACATCTGTAAACAAAAGTTTGTGTTGATTCGATAAAATCGTCTATTAATTTGTTCCCACTCAAGATTCTCATTGAAGCTCGATAACAATCTTTACATTGTTCGTGATTATCATAAGTTTTGCTTCGAACTTTGCGTAAATTGCATTTGATGCATCTTTTACGTTGCCTACGCTGGCTATGTTGTTCACGTCTGGAGGTGGGTAAAACTGGACGTTGAATGTTGTTCACGTGAAATTCTATAAACGGATTATAATTATCCGGCAAGCCTGGAGACACTTCTGTTGAGATTTCTTTATTGTTCACGTAAAATTCTATAAACGGATTATAATCATTCAGCAAACCTGGTGACACTTTTGTTGAGATTTCTTTATTGCACATTATTAGGTAATAAAAAGCGCTACAAATAAGCACCTTGGTCTTCAAATTCTGCCAATTTATATAGAATTGCACATTTATCGTGTTGATAGAAATATTGATATATCATAATTATGATTTATAATTTGTATCCAGAAAGTGTTACAAATGAACTTTAGAAAGCAATCGCTAGGAATATTTTCGGAGAAGCGGAGGACTCGATCTCGATTGAATAATACCATTTTAGATGCATTCTTAAGAACATGCAATTTTCTGCAATTTGGTTTGTCACGCCTCGTGTCTATATTTTGTTTTGCATGCGATCAACTGATATTATTGTGTGTCTATATTTGTTTGCACGTGATTAACTGATATTGTTACCCAATTTACTATTTTGGAGGCGTTTAAAGTTTGATTATTCAATGTTTGAAGCGAAGAATACTATAAAATTAGATCCAATTCTATGCGATCTTTTTAGACCTCCCCAAATTTTTTTTTTTTTTTGCAAGACTTTATTCAGTATTATATAGTGTGTTGGCACTTCAAATGACCAAATGAATTGGTCATTAGTAGCGATGTTAACAGTCCGGTCTGATTCAGTCTGGTCAATTTTGGTTCAAGTTTAGTCTGGTCTACTATGGTCTTCGGTCTTAAGACTTTGCTAGTCTAGACCGGTCCAGTCTTAAGACTTAGAGCAGACCAATTTTTTTTAGCTCAGACCCGTCTTACAGCTACTTTCATTATTCCTGGAACACCTGATAAAAATTGACCAAATGATTTTTCGGCCGACCCGGTTAAGTTATTGATTTCGGCATGATCATATTAATATTAATATAATAATAATAATAATAATAATAAAGGCTATTTTGGTATCATAATGATAATTTTACAATCATTATAACAATAATGTCAATTTTTTAAATTTTCGTTCAAATGCTTGTCCAATATGTTTGGTGTGCTTAGTTTATACAAAAATTTATGGAAAAGACAGTCTTGTCAACCAATAAACCTTAATAAAAAACGTAAAAAAGGATCCGAATATAAATTAGACTTTTATAACAAATATAT